CCCCAAAACCCCAAAACCCCAAAACCCCAAAACCCCTAAAAATTTGCATTACATTGAATCGAAGATTAATAAAGAATTTTAACAATAATCATTGAGAGCAATTTAAACTTTAACTTGAGTGATCTCATTGGTACCAAGAGATTTACTTATCTTATTAGAAGATATTTCTGACCAAAGAATGCAAATATTCTTCAGACTATTCTTTAAACCATCGACTTGTGATAATCCTTTGATTAAGTTATCAAACCTTTTAAGATGTTTTACCCAATCTCAGTATTCTGAGTTTACCTAATATGAACATTTAGTCTTTGGATCATTGGACCGGTGAAGCATCTTTGCAAATTTGAAGCAATGTAGAATTAAACCCTACAACAAAGAAAGCCGAAATTTTTTATCATCTTTTGTGAGCTGAAATAGGGTTCTCATCTGGCTTTGACCTATTTCAAGATTATAAAGATATAGAGTTTCTGCAATTTTTGGATTCATATATTATACACCATCAATAATCTTGTATCTCTTTATCATTTTTCTCAGAAATTACACTCAAGCCTATTTACTTTCTAAAGAAAATGTAAAGTCTTTGAAAATGAGCAAGCTCTTGGCAGAGAAAATTCTACAATCTTCAAAATGTGAGATAATGTTGGTGTTGATTCATTTTGCAGACTCAAGGTCTTCTGTATAATCAATGTAAAGTTGAGGCATTTTATTTGTTTAAGTATTTCATTTCTTTCTTTTAAATATATTCCATAAGATTGACTGAATCCTTTCAATGATTTTAGATTAGTCATTGTAATTATTTGTTCTTTGAATTTCAGAAATTCCTGTTTCAATTCCTTATATTTGTGACAAATGTCTCGACACCATTATTGTATCTCATTTCATAACTTTCTTTGATTTTTAGATAAAAGCTCAGCTCCAATTTTAGACTTGTCCACTTCCAAGAAATCTCAAACAATAGAGTAATAGCCTTTAACCCAAAACTGTTAAAATTGATTACTTTTGAGTTCCGAAAATGTACTTCAGTTTCTGTTTGATTCCATCATTCCTTTGATTGATGTGTTAGATTCATTTTAAAAATCCTCTGCTTAATTTCTGTAACTTCATTATAAAATTGTTCTCCTGATACTTCTTCTTTTAACTCTTCATCTTTCTTATTCAATTCCATTAAAATTAATAGATTCATAATACAAACCTCAAGAACTTTGGGCATATTTGTAATACCTTCAATTTCCCCTTGATCATAAAGTTTAACTCACTTATTTCTCTAAATGAGTTCACACCACATAGCACAAATATCACCCCAAAACCCACATAAACCAAGCCCCCTCATTACTCCACCCTCCTTTATACCACACCACCCAAAACTCCCCATCCTAACCCCCTTATTCCCCAAAAATACCTCCTCTTCCCACCCTCCACACCCCTCACTACCACTCCTCTCCCAACCCACCCTTCCATCCCAATAACACCCTCCATACTCCTCTTCCCAGTCAGCCTCACTTCTTCCCTCAACTTTTCATTTGTCATAGCCTGCTCAAGGCTTGGCTGGGTGGCCAGCCAAGCCTTGAGCAGGAAATGATCGGATGATAGTGGGAGAGGGAGGGTAAAGTGAGGAGTTGGGGTGGGGATGGAGGGGGATGGGTGAGGGGAGTGGGGTGTTTATAGGGGAGTTTGGGATTTAGGGAAGGGGTGAGTGTCTTTGAATTGGTGAGAAGGGGTAAGGTTATATTTTTTTGAGGGAAGTTTTGGGAAATTTGAGGGTTGTTTTGAATGCCTGCAGATTCTTACTCATTTAGCTTTGTTTGATCTATATCATTGGTTGAATACTTTTTTTTCTTCTAACAGCCTCCAAGCACCTGTATTTATAATAAGTATCTATTCTCTCAATTTCTTTCATAAAATTGAAACATCTAAATGAGTATTTGAAGCTGCTCTCTTTGTTTTAAATATACTAGAGTTGAATTAGAATAATAATGCAAGAAACAAGAAAATTTACAATAATTAAGACATCTATTATTCTGAATGGTCAGATATATCGGCATCTTCAAAACCGTTAGCATCAAGTATTTTTCTTACTTTGAGCAGAGGCATTCCACAATTTGACATCATGAATTTTCTCAAATTCTGTGTGAAGTCTTCACTTTGAGATAATCCTTTAATTAAGTTCTCAAACCTTTCAGGATGGTTCCTCCAATCTCAGTATTCTGGTTTTCCTCAATATGATAGGACAAGTGTTTGAATTTTAGATCCTTTAAGATAGTTTTTCAAGTTTGGAACTGTATCAAGTTCAAGTTTACAACAAGGAAGTCCAAAAGATTCTTTATTATCCTTTATCAGATGAAAAAGCGTTCTCATCTGGCTTTGGTTAACTTCAAGACTGTAAAGATATAGACTTTTAGCAATCTTTGTACTGATGTATCATACAACATCAATAATCTGGTCGCTATTTATCATTCGTCCTTTAGAATTGAAATGAAACCTATTTACCCGTTGAGGAAATGAAGAGAATATAAAGTCTCTGGCTATCTGCAAGTTATCGTTAATCTGATGGATTCTGAAATCATCTAAATTTGCTAATATATTGCTTCCCATTCATTTTACAAACTCAAGGTGTTCTGTATTATCAAATCAAAGTTGAAGCATCTTGCTTGTCTCAATGTTACTTTTCTTTGTTGTAAATACTTTATACGATTGATCGAGACCTTTCAACGTTAATGGATCCAACATTGTAATTGCTTGTTCTTTGAATTTCTGAAATTCCTGTTTCAATTGTTCATATTTGTCAAGAATATACCCAACTTCTTCATTATGGCTCATTTCATGGATTTCGTTGAATTCTAAGTTTAATTCTTCACAAATTTTAAACTTGTTCACTTCCAAGAAATCTCAAACAAGGAAGATGTAGTTTTCTATTCAGAACTGTTGAAAAGGCTTATTGTTTTTAAGATTTACAAAAATATTCCACAGTTCTTGCTTGACGTAACTTAGCTTTTGATATTGTTGTTTCTGTTGAATTTCTTGAATCATTTTTCCAACTTTTTCAACATCATACTGGATTTGTCTGGGGGTATTTTTTGAAGGCCTTATTCCTTCATTATTTTTTATCGGTATCATTGAAATTCATAGGTTTTTAGTACAAGTTTCAAGAACTTTGAACATATCTTTGATGCTATCAACTCCAGTTCTCTCATCAACTTTTACTCAACTTGCTCTCTGACTAGGTTTACAATGAACCGAGCAAATATAAACCTTGAAATCTTTATGAAAGTAAATAGCCTCATTGCTACATCCTTCTGCTTGTCACTTCCTACCAATCTCCATTTTATCCCTCTAATTCCGCCTTTATTCCCCCTATAAAATCCCCATATCCTAAAAATTGGCTAACAAAAACACACCTGTCAATTTCAACATCTTAAAACTCTAAAATCTATTTCAACCTCTGTTTTAATTCCTGGGGTTTTGGGGTTTTGGGGTTTTGGGG